CCATGTATAGAGTTTTAACTTAACATTATAAATGTTATATGTGTAATTGTAAACACTAGTCCTAGAACCCTGTATCAGAATCTGGCTTTGGAAGGGGTTTTAGCTGCTTGAAATATCTTTTGCTTACAGGCTGCCTCTCCCAGGGAGCCACCTGAACCACTCAACATCCCAGATCCTGGATATAAAGAGGAGGAGGAAGACCATGACATACAGGGAGAACTCAGTCATCCTGATGGCAAGGTTAAAAAATATTTTTGAAATAATTCTGTAAAAAATAAACATAGGTTAAAGTAGTTCAAACAGAGAGAATCTAAAATAATGCCTCTGTGGACAGCGTGCCTTTAGTTGGCATTTCTGTCATTCAGAGAGTCAGCAAAAGCAAGCATACAATCTCTGTATCATCTTTGTTCTTACTCCAAAGCCTTTGTAATCCTTGGCACTTCTTAAAAGCTTCATTCCCAGGTCTTCCTTGCTTTGCCGCCTTTCTTATACCGATCCTGAGTCAGGGGCCTCTCTCCCTGTCTCCAGCTTACATCGTTTTATTCTTATGTTTAGGAAAGTTTCTGAGTGGGAAAACAGCCTAGGGGTTTCAGCTAAAGGGAAAATGATATATACAAGAGGTTATAAGGGAATTTTTCCTCAGGTTTATGGAAAATAATTTACTTTTCAAATGCCCTAATCTGGTCCATTTCTATTGAAATTAGAGCTCACTGCCAGCCTTGAGGAATGAGAGAAGGACTAAGAATGACAGTCAAAAGTAGTAATTAAGACTTTCCTGTACAACATCTACTTCAGGGTAATGAATCATTGATGAGGGAAGGTCGTCTTTTTTAGATGAGTTCCACCTAATACATGGAAAAGGAATGATAAAATTAGAAAATCACAAATTTGCTGCTCCTGATGAAATAAAGGATCTTTTGAGTGAATGTTTTACATTTTATTATGAATAATTTCAAAGTAGGCAGTTGGGAGGAGAATTATGCAGATCTTCCTTAGAAGGTGATCATCTTGTGTTGGTTTTTTTTTTAGGTGGAAAAGATTTATAAGAATGGGTGCCGTGTTATACTGTTTCCCAATGGAACTCGGAAGGAAGTGAGTGCAGACGGGAAGACCATCACTGTCACTTTCTTTAATGGTGATGTGAAGCAGGTCATGCCAGACCAGAGAGTGGTATGTTTCCAGAGACGTTCTCCTCCAGGGCTTAACCATCTCTGGAGAAAAGGCAGACTGACTGACTGTGTGTCTTTACAGATCTACTACTACGCAGCTGCCCAGACCACTCACACCACGTACCCAAAGGGACTGGAAGTCTTACATTTCTCAAGTGGACAAATAGGTACACACTTGCTCCACCCTCTCATTAAATTCTTCCCTTCCTTCAAAAAATATTTATTGTAAATTTTTAAACAAACAGAAAAACATTTCCCAGATGGAAGAAAAGAAATCACGTTTCCTGACCAGACTGTTAAAAACTTATTTCCTGATGGACAAGAAGAAAGCATTTTCCCAGATGGTACAATTGTCAGAGTACAACGGTATGACACCATTATATTAACAGAAAAACCACTCAGTGTGACACCTGTTCATCTGTGCTCAGAAGGTGCCCCAGCCTTGCATTTCTCATGATATACAACACCCATATTAGGGGGTTCGGTTTGAATGAATGTCACACAGGCATGTCAAGCAGTCAACTTGATGTGAATTATCTTTCACATTCTGTTTTGTTCCATTGCTTCAAAACAGATTTTAAGTCTGATCATGCCTCTTCCCAGGAATAGCTCTCTTCCCCACCTGATACAGAGCATTCAGATGGTTTTTAAATTAGTGAAAGAAGGGTCCATTTTAATATAGCAACCAAGAGGAAGAACACAAGTTTTAAAAAACTCCTAAGAAGTATTTTGTGGTGAAAATGTAAATTAAAACAAGCTTTTCATGGGTATTTGTAAGTGCTAATCTGATAACTGGAACTATCAACCTGAAGCAGAAGCACTAAAAAGTTATAATTATATAGGGAAAGGAACCAAGGGATATCTCCAGAAGTAGCTGCCAGAATCAAAAGGCTACTTTTCAATAGTTTTCCTGTTGTCTATTTTCTAAAAGAAACTCTATTTATTTTAAATTTTACAGTGATGGCAACAAACTCATAGAGTTTAATAATGGCCAAAGAGAAGTACATACTGCCCAGTTCAAGAGACGGGAATACCCAGATGGCACTGTTAAAACCGTCTATGCAAATGGTCATCAAGAAACGAAGTACAGATCTGGTCGTGTAAGAGTTAAGGACAAAGATGGTAATGTGCTAATGGACACAGAACTGTGACAATCCTTATGTGATCATGAAGTAACACTAACTGATTTTTCTTGTTAAAAAATATACATTTATTGTGGATTCTGTTAATTTATTGTGTGTGTGAGGAAAAGATTGTTTGGTAAAATAAAAGCTTACCCTATGGCATCTTCATTTTTATACTCCTGAAATGCAATGAGAGCTCTCATTTATCGTTTCAACAGACTAAAGAAAGCGTTTTTACAATAGTAAGTGCGTGTGTTCATTGGTTGGAAATGACTATAAAAACCAAGAAGTACAGGAAGTACATCACACAGATGTCCCACAGGCACATCAGCTAGAGAGCACTGGATCTGTACAGAAAGTGTACTCAAGGAGTAAATACACATCTCTTTAGCAAAATATTACTGTGTTCAGTTAGTACCAAAATAATTACAGCATTTGATCTACTACAGAGGCCCATTAATTGTAACAGAATGGGAAGTTACAACCAGTGAATGACTATAAATAGGTCACACACAATCATCATATAATGATTGTTATATAATCATAGTGAGGAGAAAGCGGTTATAACAAGGCTGACTTTGTAATGTCTCAAAACAGGACACTTGAGAGTAGAGGAGCATGAACAATGACTAGCCCGTGTTAACCCATGGACCACAGCTACCTTGATGTTACAATGAGATTAGGCTCATGAAAGCAAGATGGCACTGAAGCACAGGCAAGTCATCCACTTGTAAATTTATATAATTAATTACAGATTGGCCTAGATAGATCTTACCTGTCACATATACTATGAATCAGTTTTCTTTTTAATGAAACCTGTCAATTCCAGGTGACGTAACTGAATATGAAAAATCAAACTTTTCAAAGAAAATACCCATATACACACACACAAACACACACCACACCACACCACCACCCCCCACCCCGCCAGGAGAGGTAAGGATTTTTAAAAGACAAAAAGCACAAACCTTTAAAGGTTGATAGGCCAGGTGCAGTGGCTCATGCCTGTAATCCCAGCACTTTGGGAGGCTGAGGTTGGTGGATCACTTGAGGTCAGGAGTTCAAGACTGGCCTGGCCAACACGGTGAAATCTCCTCTCTACCAAAAATACAAAAATTAGCCAAGTGTGGTGGTGGGTGCCTGTAATCCCAGTTACTTGGGAGGCAGGAGAATTGCCTGAACCTGGGAGGCAGAGGTTGCAGTAAGCCAAGACCATGCCACTGCACGCCAGCCTGGGTGACAGAGTGGAACTGTCTCAAAAAACAAAAAAGAAAATGTTGATATATGAGCAAACATTTCTGTCAAATGATATTTAAAAATGGGAAAGACAAGTCCCAGATTAGAACATACACAACTGATCAAGGATGACTAGAATACAGAGTTTTCTACAAATGAATAAGGAATAACTCGATAGCAAAATGGACAAAGGATATGAACAAGCAGTAAGTGACAATGCTCACTAGCTAATAAACCAGTGAATGCATATTCAGTGAGATACACACTGAGATACCTTTTCTCATCACAGTCTGGCAAATAAAAGTCTGGTCTGGCAAATAAAAGTCTGGTGACACCAGCTGCTGGCCAGGAACTCAGGCAATCAATGGTGGGACAAATTGGTAGAATTACTGGTTAGGAAAACAAGAGTTGTAATTGTAAAAGTAAAAAAGTAACCCCATGACCCAGCAAATTCCATCACTATGTATATGTACTAGAAATCCTCTCATGTATACAAGGATTCTATAGAGGAATATTTATGACTTAGAAAAAACTGGTAATGGAATATCAAGGTAAATTATGTACACAGATGGATATAGCAGTGAAAGTGAATAGTTATACATACCAACATGGATAAAAAGCAAATAAAATAGTAAAAGATAATTGTGTGACAGCACATACATCAAAAAATACATGGAGCAATTAACAGCAAAAATTGGGTGCCTTTCTGATCAATCTAGCATTAATCTCTACTAGTCCCATGCCTTATGCTACGAAGAGAATGAAAACTTACACTTATGCACTTGTTCATCTTTATCTGCAAGCCCCATTTCTACTAATGGCATATAAACAGCCATGTGGAACTGTGAGTCAATTAAACCTCTTTCTAAATTCCCATATCATTTATGGATGCATTCATACGCAATAAAATTATAAAGACCTTTATATGAACGATAACTGTCAAATCACAACAGTCGTGTTTACCTCTTGATATGGTTTGGCTGTGTCCCCACCCCAAATCTCTAGTTGTAATCCCCATGTGTTGGGAGAGGGACCTCGTTGGAGGTGACTGGATCATGGGGGTGGTTTCCCCGGGCTGTTTTCATGATAGTGAGTTCTCACAAGATCTGATGGTTTTATAAGGGGTGTTTCCCCCCATTTGCTTTGCATTTCTCCCTCCTGCCACTTTATAAAGAAGAGGTTGCTCTCCCCTTCACCTTCTGCCATGTTTGTAAGTTTCCTGAAGCCTTCCCAGCCATGTGGAACTGTGAGTCAATTAAACCTCCTTCTAAATTGCCCGGTCTCTGGCAGTTCTTTATAGCAGTGTGAGAACAGACTAATACATTTCTACAGAAGGCAGGGGGAATGCCTGGGAGAAGGCTTTTTGTACTGATGATGTCTTTTTAAGCTGAATCATTAAGTATAAAATGAACTAATTTTTTTCCGTATGTCTTAGCCATTTCATTTTGAAATTATGGTAAAATAAAGCAAATGTTGGGAAGCAAACATTTATTAACTTTTTTTACCCACACAATTCCTATATGTAAAAATGAGAAGAGTTAAAGCACTACTGCAGAACAAATTAGGCAAACCATTTCGGGTCTAAATATAACAGAAAACTTTCTTCTAGGCTTCTACAGATTATCTTCACTGTATACCTGAAAAACAAAATGTGTTATTTTAAATATCTGCTTAATGTAAATGTTCAAGTCTAGCTGAATCACTTCTTATGGACAAGATAAAAAGTTAGCTGGTTAGCATGTACTTTAATAACTTGGTATGAGGATGCTGACTGTTCAGAAGTTCTGTGTGCTTAGCAGATATTTATGTGCTTAAATTATTTACAGTGCCCACTCTCCTGCTCTCCCCATGTACCTGGTACTGTGAGAGTCATGACAGCCCATCCAAGCATCCTTACAGATAGGGGACCTCTATGATACCTAGTGCTCAATAAGTGAGAAGGGCCTATGAAGAAATCTGAAAGAGATTCTTTTGGAGTGTTGATGTCATTTCTTTGAGACATCAAGGAAAATTGGGTACTTTTCTGATCAATCTAGCATTAATCGCCACTAGTCCCCATGCCTTATGCTATGAAGAGAATGAAAACTTACACTTATGCACTTGTTCATCTTTATCTGCAAGCCCCATTTCTACTAATGGCATATGAACTGGATGCTGCTCATCGTCATATAACGTCACTATTTGTTCTGGTGCTGGCGCCTAAAATTAAAAGATACAGTTGTCAAGACAATAATGTCTTTGCTGCCTTTTCTCTCTCACATCTGGCCATTCACACAGGTGGGAAAAGGTGTTCTCAGGGGTCTATTGATAATTTATACTCTGTGGTTCCAAAAGGCATCTGTAGTGGTTTCCTGCAAAATCCCATTCTTTCCATTCTTCTGCTCTATCTAAATTCCTTCTCCACGGTTTTCCCAAATGAAGCTACCACCATCCCTTGTTACAGTTCACTTGCATTCCACACAAAGCATTATACCTTTATGCGTAAACTGTGATGGTTAATATTAGTTGTTAACTTGGCTGAACTGAGGGATGCCTCAATGGCTGGTGAAGCATTTCCAGGTGTGTCTGGGAGGGTGTTTTCAGAGGAGACTGATGCTGAATCAGTGGACAGAGAGGAAGACCCACTCTCTGTGTCGGCAGGTGGCATCCAGTTGGCTGGGAGACAAACAGGCAGAAAGGGAAAGTTTTCTTTTCTCCTTTCCTTCCTGGGTGGCGGACACCTTTTCTCCACCTACCTTCGGACATCATCCTCCAGATTCTCTGGCTTTTGGACTGCAGGACTTGCACCAGTAACCTCCCAGGGGTTCTTTAGCCTAGGACTAGAGGCTGCATTTTAGACAGCTTCCCTAGTTCTGAGGCCTCCAGACTGAGCCATGCTACCAGCTTCTCTGGTTCTCCAGCTTGTACACAGCCTGTCATAGGACTTCACCTCTGACTGTGTGACCCAATTTCCTTAATAAATCCTCTCATATATCCTATGGTTCTGATTATCTGGGGAACCCTTATATACTGACCAAATTTTGAATATTAGAGAAGTGAAAAAACACTTGTCTATAAGAAATACTTGCCGTGTCTATTTTCGCTGGCGTGAGACAAAACTCTCTATGAGCTATTCATACCACTCTGCACATGCAGTAGCATATGTACAGGGTTTTCAAAAAGCGCTTTTCCAGTAATCATGCTATGAGCTCAGTTTTGTCATAGCCAGTATGTCAGGAGTCCTCACGTCATGGCACCAGGCAGGAGTCGCAAAGGAAGGAAGCAGGTTGAGCTGCACACCAGCAGTGAGCACTAGGTGAACCGAACATCACACATTCCCATATAAGGGGCTGTGGCTACACTTTCAGCTGACTGCCATTTCAGGGGGATGGGAGACCCAGGATTCCTAGTTTTTAGAGTATCTAATCAGAGCGAGAAATACAGATTTTTTTGGGTAGAATTTCCTACTTTAAAACACTGTGTGCTAGATAAAACAAGGTACAGGCCAGATTCTGCTGCGGGCTGCTATGATATGCTCAGCCTCAGAAGAAGAAAACATATTAAACACAGTCTGGACTTTTTATTTGACCTTTTGATGCAGGTTCTACTATATGAATTCAAAAGTAGTACAATTATGAGATTAGTACAATTAGTATAATTCAAGCCTTTCTATAATGACCAGAACTACTGTTCTCTCCCACTCATCTTTTAGGAGGCAGGTGAAAAGCCACGTTCCTGTTTTACTTATCAATTAAGTACTTAAGTGGCTTCTAAGTAGCAGCTCAAACACCCTTTGCTAGTCTCTCCAAATACAAATAATCATTTCTTCTTACACTGCCCCCGCCCGCAAAGTTAGCTATACCTCTGTTACAGTACTTATTTCATTCAGCTTCACACTAATTTGTTTGCATATTTTTCATTATAAGCTAATTATGGGATATTCATCTTGAGCATTTTATTAATTACATAAATGATATTTTATATCACCATAGGGGCAAGCAGTTTGTTAAATTTAAGCTAAGACATTTTAACAAGCCTTAAGCCCACATACACACACACACACACACACACTATATATAGCTTGATATGCTTGAGTATACTATTGCATGTAGAGTTGCATAGACACAAACACTTTATAAAGTTAGTGGGGACACAGAAATAGCTTTAAAATAATTTTGGCTAGTTGAGACACTTACCATGGATGCAGCATAAAGCTGTTTTCCTTGAAGACAGTCTATCATAGCCCATAGTGCCTCCATGCTCCATTTGGGACAATATGGTATTCTTGTCTCCCTTAGATCCCTTAAGGGAGGTTTAAACCCTGCCAAGAAAACCTTTATGGCTCGAGCTGGATACCGCATAAGATGAGAAGGAATTTGGCACAGTCTGTCACAAAAGAAATTCTTAAATTAAAATTCTCTTCCAAGTGAAACTATATAATTCTTAGAAGAAAACACAGGGAAAAAACACTGGATTTTGTAGATTTTTTAAAATACAACAACAAAAGCACAGAAAATGAGAAAAATCAGATAAAATGGACTTCCTAAAAAATTAACTTCTGTGTATCAAAGGACAAAATCAACAACAAAACGCCAATCTACAGAATGGGGAAAAATAAACATGGACATTACTCTTAAGATCTACAAATGTCCAATAAGCACATAAAAGGATGTTCAACATCACTAATCATTAGGGAAATGCAAATCAAATCCAAAGTGAGATTCCACCTCAAACCTACTAGAATGGCTACTATAAACAACAAAATTATAAGTGCTGGTGAGGATGTGCAAGAATTGGAACTTTTGCACACTCTTAGTGAGAATGTAAAATGGTGCAGCCACTGTGGGAAACACCATGGAGGTTCCTCAAAAATTAAGCATAGAATATATGATCCAGCAGTTCCATTTCTGGGTATATACCCAAAATAACTAAAATAGGTACTCAAAGAGACATGTATACCCATGTTCATAAAAGCATTATTCACAAGAGCCAAAAGTGGGGAGCAACCCAAGTTCCACCTTCCAGTGAAGGGATAAGATGTAGTATATATACTGTATGAGGGAGCTCCAAAAGTTCATGGAAAAATGAAATTAAGATGAAAATAAAAAATGTAAACTTCATTTCTCAACATAAGTTCCTTCAAGATCATGAAACATTTGTAAGCTATGGTAACAGCCATTTAGCCCATCCCTTAAGAACTGAGGGTCCTAGGAATACTATGTCAATGTGATCTTTCTTACATTATTAACAGGAGAAAAGTAAGATTAAGAAACAAAAAACAAGTTAGAATGGGCCAAATCAGGACTGTAAAGTGGATGCCTCATGATTTAGGCAAAACTCTTGCAAAATCGCCCTTGTTTGATGAGAGGAATGAGCAGAGCACTGTGGTGGCAAGGGACTCTCTGGTAAAGCTTTCCCAGGCGTTTTCCTGCTAAAGCTTTGGCTTTCTCAAACAGTCATAATAAGATGATGTTGCCATTCTGTGGCCTTCCAGAAAACCAGCAAGCTAAATGCCTTGAGCATCAAAAAAAAAAAAAAAAAACTGTTGCCATGGGCTTTGCTCTTGACTGGTCTACTTTTGACTAGACCACTTCTACCTCTTTCTTTTCACTGTGTTTTGTCTTCAGGATCATACTGGTAAAGCCATGTTTCATATGAAGTTACAGTTCTTTGAAGAAATGCTTCAAGGTCTTCATCTTGCTTGTCTACAATTTCCATTGAAAGCTCTGCTCCTATCTGTAGCTGTTTGGCACCCATTGAGTGGAGAGTTTGCTCAACTTTTTCAGTCAGAATTGTATAAGCTGAACCAATTGAAATGTCTTTGGTGTTGGCTATTATTTCTGCTGTTGCTGGTCCTCTTCAATTAGGGCATGAACAAGATTAATTTTTTTCCTCATAAATTGATGTGGAAGGGCTGCTGCTATGGGCTTCATCTTCAACATCATCTCATTCTTTCATGAAACAAGTTATCCACTTGTAAACTGCTTTCTTTGGGGCACTGTTTCCATAAACTTTTTATACAGCAACAATGATCTCACTCTTCCTCCACCCAAGCTTCACCATAAATTTGATGTTTGTTGTTTCAATTTGAGCAGAATTCATGTTGCACTTATCCTTTGTGTCTCAAACTAGATCCTGTTCAGACACGTTAGAACAAGTTAGTACAATTTTATTTTGGTGAAAAAAATGTTGAAATCCATGCAGTTTTTTACATAGTATGCATTTTCCATGAACTTTTTGAAGGCCCCTCATATATATAATGAAATATTTTCAGCCTTAAGTAAATTCTGACACATGTTACAACATGGATGAATCTTTAAAAATTATGTTATTGAAATAAGCCAGTCACAAAAGAACAAATATTGTATGCATTTACTTATATGAGGTACCCAGAACAGGCAAATTCAGAGACAGCAGACCATGGGTTACCAGGGACTGGGTAAGAACGGACTAGGATGCTGTTGTTAATGGGTGCAGGATTTCTGTTTGGAATGACAAAATCATTCTGGAAATGGAAACTGGTGATAGCCGTATAACCTTGTGAATGTATTTAATGCCAGTTAGTTATTATACTTAAAACACCTAAAATGGGCCAGGCATGGTAGCTCATACCTGTAATCCCAGAACTTTGGGAGGCCAAGGCAATTGGATCACCTGAGGTCAGGAGTTGGAGATCAGCCTAACCAGCATGGTGAAATCCCATCTCTACTAAAAATACAAAAACATTACCCAGGAGTGGTGGGGAGCAGCTGTAATCCCAACTACTTGGGAGGCTGAGGAAGGAGAATCTCTTGAACCTGGGGGGGCAGAGGTTGCAGTAAGCCAAGACGACTGCACCACTGCACTCCAGCCTAGGTGACAGAGCAAGACTCCATCTCAAAAAAAAAAAAAAAAACAAAAAAACCTAAAATAGTAAATTCTATGTATACTCTTAACATCATAAAAAATCTAGATTAAAAGTTTCCTAATATATAAACAGCCTTAGAATAATCCTTTTCTTTTAAAAAAGGCAAAATATTCTCAATAAGAAAACTACATATATATAAAAACAAAGAAACCTAATTCAACACCCTGACATTTATTTTTAACCTGTTTAATGTCAGCTTTGCAGTTGATCCATAATCAACAAATTGTGCCAGGATAGATAAAGGATTAAATTCTTTTATGGAAACAATCTTCGCTCTATACCATAAGCCATCATCATATTCTGCAAGACAAGGCATTTCTGGAAAGACAGAAAGAGGGAAAAAATCATATTGTCTTTTATTAAATGTTTTTACTCCAAAGGAAATCAACATTATCAAAGAGCTATCTGCATCCCATGTTTACTGCAGCACTATTCACAATAGCCAAGATAGGGAATCAAGCCAGGTGTCTGTCAACAGATGAATGAATAAAGATTTTGTGGTGTATATACACAATGGAATACTATTTGGCCATTAAAAAAAAGGATGGAATCTTGTTATTTGCAGCAACGTGGATGGATCATTATATTGAGATACGACAAGCACAGAAAGACAAATATCACATGTTCTCACTCATCTGAGAGCTAAAAAAGTGGATCTCAGGAAGATAACAAGTACATTAATGGTTACATGAGGCCATGAAAGACATGTATATATGTGTTTGGGGTGGGGGGAAGAAGAGAGGTTGGTTGATAGGTACAAACATATAGTACAAAGAAGTTTCAATATTTGATAGCAGAGTCGTGTGCCTAGTTAACAACAATGGGTGGTATATTTCAGATTAACTAGAAGTCTTGAAATGTTCCCAACACGCAAATGATAACTGCTCAAGGTAATTAATACCCTAAATACTGTCTTGATAATTACAAATTCTATGCATGTAGTATCACATGTACCACATAAGCGTATACAATTATATATCAGAAATGTTTAATACAGAAAAGTACAAAGAAGAAAATGTACAACCATATGCTCACCATCCAGAGTTAAATATTGAACCGTTAGCCTCATGTTGGTTTCTTTTTCGTTCGTAGTTTATAAGCCTTTGTTCACTAATTCCAGTGGATTAAGCTTCAAACAAAGATACTTCACCCATTTTCAGAGTTGCTAGTTCTTCTATTCCTAAGGCTTATTAGCTCATATTGCCACTGCCCCAACTTCTGATACTACCCTAGTCTCTTTTAGCGTGGGTCATCATCTTTGGCAAAGGATGATACATGTTTGCTGTTCCTGCCTTCCATTCTGTCCTCCCATTCATTTGCTATGGGACCACCAGAATTAAATTTTTAAAAATTCAACTAAATTGCTCTTATTTAAAATTCTTTAATGATACACCTTAACCGCCTGTAATGTCAAGTCCTTATTGCAATTCACAGGCTTCTTCAGTTATCTGTTCTCCTAAACAACTTCTACCATATTTCCTCAATGAGTTACCTAAATAGGATTACTTAAAACTTTGATGCTTCTATTTAGCTTATGGCTGCCCTCCTCACTAGAGTGTTTTCCTGAGCCCTTCTTTTTATGATGTTTATCATAAACATCAGAAAAACATTCTGACAGTTTTTAGGGTATTCATTACCTTGAGCAGTTATCATTCTTTCAAAGCCTAGCTCCAACATGACCAACAAAGCCCTAATAATTGATCACTGCTTTCCCTGTGATCCTATGGCACTATGCACACCCCTCTAAGAGGAGCTATTCTTTTCATACTATACTTGGTTTACATGTCTCTTTTCTGCTTAGAGCACCTGTTCTTGAGTGCAGAACTGTTGTTTGTATTCCTAGCATAGCACCTGATACACAGCACCTAAATACTCAGTAAAGAAAAAAAGTGTGCTAATGAGTGCTACGCTTGAGTAAAACTGTGGAAAAATTAGTACAGTATGTACTTCCCTTTGTACATGCTTAGAGTGATGGCATGTGTCTCAGTTTCCCATCTTGTTCTACTTCCTTATGTCATCATGCTTCCTACGTAATTTCACAGAGAATTCTGCTTGGCAAGTGATATTGAAATATATGACTAATGAATAAGGATTTTTATTTCAAGTAATTTTTATTAAAGAATTATAGACAATTTCTTGCATATATGGAGTCATCAGGGCCAGGTGTAGTGACTCACGCATGTAATCCCAGCACTTCGGGAGGCTGAGGCAGGCAGATCACCGGAGGTTGGGAGTTCGAGAGCAGCCTGCCCAACATGAAGAAACCCTGTCTTTACTAAAAATACAAAATTAGCTGGGTGTAGTGGCACACGCCTGTAATCCTAGCTACTTGGGAGGCTGAGGCAGGAGAATCACTTGCACATAGGAGGTGGAGGTTGCAGTGAGCCAAGATCACACCACTGCACTCCAGCCTAGGTAACAGAGCAAGACTCTGTCTCAAAACAAAAACAAAAACAAAAGGCTGGCATGCTGGCTAATGCCTGTAATCCCAGCAATTTGGGAGGCCAAGGTGGGCAGTTCACTTGAGGTCAGGTGCTTGACACCAGCCTGGCTAACATGGGGAAACCCCATCTATACTAAAAATATAAAAATTAGCTGGGCATGGTAGCACACACCTGTAATCCCAGTTACTCGAGAGGCTGAGACAGGAGACTTACTCGAACCCAGGAGGAGGAGGTTGTAGTGAGCCAAGATCACATCACTGCATTCCAGCCTGGGTGGCAAAACGAGACTCTGTCTCAAAAAACAATCAATCAATCACTGAACACAGGTAAGACTGATGTTTTTTTCCTTTGCTAAAATATCAAGAATAAATACATTTGTATGCATCAAATACTGCAATGACTAGATACATTTTCCTCAGAGAAGACTCACACATATTTAATAAAGATGGGAAGAATGGATAGAAAAAAGAGTAGAAATCTGACCTATTCTGACAGAACAGGTCATACTTTGAGACTTGACCTCAACATTACCACTGTAGGTAGCTTGTAATTAAAATGACAGCCATTAAGGTCTGAAAGACAACTCTTGAAATTTCAGCTACTGATAACCTCAAACTTAAAAAGTCATCTTTATGCAATTTTCCAACACCATCTTATTTGTGGAACATGAAAGTGTCCTCAAGGGAGTTTACTTAAAGTCTCTTAGTTCACCTTCCTAATCTAGAAAGCGAGAAAGAGGTCATCTTCTTGGTTTCTTGAGGATTCCAAGAAATCATGCGTGTAAAGTGAACATGAGGAAAATATCAATATGAGCGATAGCCCAAGATTATCAGCCCATTAAAACAAAATCCAAGTTTTATTAAATATTGCTTCACTCAAATGTAGTAAGTATACCTGTTCTAAAATCTGTCAGAGGAGGAAGCGTCTCTACTTTCGTATTAACCCTCTGCAGTGCTTCATCAAGGCTTTCGGATTCTGATTCCCCGCTGACTCCACTATCATCTGTGTCACTATGCTGGTTAGATTGATTACAAGTTTCTACTGAATCAAGGCAAATATACACCTAAGTTGGGAGAAGGAAAGAAAAAATTTCAGATTCTGGAATTTCAAGAATTCATTTATGTGGACAAAATTACTGCGGTAGTCTCCAGCGATGTCCCCAGGAAACCCCTACCTCCTGATATTCACCTCCTGTTCCTTCCCACATCCTGCCACACTTATCTTGTAATCAAGAGAACATTATTAGGCTGGGCACGGAGACTCAAGCCTATAATGCCAGAACTTTAGAAGGCTGAGGCGGGAGGATCACTTGAGCTCAGGAGTTAAAACCAGCCTCAGCAACACAGTGAGATTTCATCTCTACTAAAAAAAAAAAGAAAAAAAAAGAAAAGAAATAGCTGGGCATGACAGTACATGCCTGTAGTCCCAGCTAGTCGGGAGCATGAGGCAGGAAGAAAACTTTAGCCTGGGAAATTAAGGCTGCAGTGTGCTATGATTGTATCACTGCACTCTCCAGCCTGGATGACAGAATGTGACCCACATCTCAAAAACAAACAAACAAAAACAATAAAAAAACTACACAACTGCAATGACAGTGTGTGACTCCTGAGACTGACTTATAAGAACATGTAGCTTCCATTTTGGTAGGAGCTCTGCCAGGAATTTCATGCTCCAAGAAGCCACAGCCAGGCTGCAAGCAGACAAATGGAGAGCCCACGGGCAGAAAACAGAGCCTTCCAGGTGGTGTCATGTGAGTGACTCTTTTCAAAAGTGGTTTCTGCAGCCTCTGCCAACATCATGATTGCAGCCTCCTGAGAACCTGAGCTAGAGTGCTTCACTCAGCAGCTCCCAGATTCCTGACCCTTGTGTGTGTTCTACTAAGCCGCTAAGTTTAAGGGTAACTTGTGAGGCAGCAATAAATAATAATTTCAGCTACTGATAACCTCAAACTTAGAAAATCTTGGAAGGCTGAGGTGTGAGGATCGCCCACCTCTGTTTGGGTAATACAGAATTACCCAAACCAGCAATAGTTGTTTAGCAACTATATAGAGCATAACATACTACTTACTCTGCTCTCTGATGAAATTAGAAAGCAAATCCTTCCCCTGCCTGTGAGAGAATGGCTTACTGTGTAAAAGGCTAAAGGAGCTGCTGAAGCTACTTATTTCTTCCTCTCTTTGTTAGCCAAGGACATGTAGGTGAACTTTCAGTGCCTTTATTCATACATTTAATCAATATTCACTGGGTGTCTAGTATTTATCAGCCACTATTCTAGGTTCTTGGGATACCTCAATGAACAACATGGAGCTAAATCCTAAGGGGAGGCAAACAAACATAATAAGGAGAACACGGTATCAGCCAGGTGGTTGAGTGGAAGAGTTCAGTGCAGGAAGAGGAAGGGGAGATGTTTAAGATTTCACAGGTAGAACCATAAGTATCAGATATAAAGGTAACATTGAATAAAGCAGCACAACACTGGGAACCCAGTTCCACCTTAAAAATCTAAATATCAGATATAAACATAACATTGAATAAAGAAGTACAACACTGGGAACCCAGCAGGTCCTTAAGAAACACTTGCCCTAAATATTAACAAATATCTGAAGAGAATATTACAGGATGAGGCAAACTAGTGGTCACAAATTTGCAACATTTGAAATTAGAAAGGTAAAGAAATGAAGAGTCACTTCTAGTGTTTTTTTTTTTTTTTTTTCTTTTGAGGTCTGTACCATTTGAACTGTAGAGATTCCTAGTGTTTAAGACCAAGATAGCTTTTTATGTTTTTAATCACCAACTAATCATTTAGATTACATACTTCATTAGGTGAGACAACGTGCTTAACTTGAACAGCACAGAGTTCTCCTGGGGGAGGCAGAGATGAAGACAAATACGGTGGTAAAAGAGGAGTCTCTGTTTCAGACAAAAGCAATTCCTGAAACACCACAAAAAAATTCAAATTTTAGAACAAGGACAAAAATCTATTACATTATAAAAATTCATGATGGTGCCAATTTACTTTCAATTAGCAGAAATCAAGCTCTCTTAAATACTGAATACCACAGAATGATTTTGTTACAGTAGGACCAAAAGGTGATGATAAAGATCTTTAATATTCTTTTGTCCTCTAATTTTAAAAAGCATTTTGTGCAAAAAAAAAATGCATGATTGTTTACTGATTATCTACATACACACATACAATTCTAGATGAATAGTCCATAGTAACTGCCACTAATGAAGGCTGGGATGTTTGAGGTGCAGAATGAGGAACAGATCCCCTTTCCTTTTACAAACTTTTACGGTATTTAAGTACTTTCTAATAAAAACTAAAATAATATATGAAATGCTAAAAGAAAATGTAAGTTAAAATCATCAAAAAGGTGATTTCTACGAAAGCATAAGAAATACTACGATTATGTGATTTCCAAGAAGATCACAGCACCTAGCAATTGTTAAAAGCAAATGTATATAAAAATGTGGTGCATGTTTTTCTGCAAATACCAGCAATATCTTTATAAAAAATTCTTATTCTTCAAGAATATGATAATTATCTTAAGTAAATCCATCATATTCAAATTTGTAGGTTAATTTATTACTATTTAACATTTCCAAACTGGTAGCCAAACAAAACAAAACTTTTGAACCTAGGAAAATTCAGCAAGAAGTGATCTACCACTGTTGAAATTTGTTGAACTTAACTAAGTAATATGTAATTTACAATAAGGGTATGTTATTTTTGTAAACTACAAAGGTTTACTTACTAAAACTCTTCCTGCACCAAAAAGTCCAAATGATAAAAGAAAAAACAGATAAATCGGACTTCATCAAAATTAAAAACTCTGGTACTTAAAAGCAAACTATCAAAAAAATGAAAAGAAAGCTGGCTGTAGTGGTCTGTAGTTCCAGCTACTCTGCAAAAAGGCGGGAGGACTGCTTGAGCCCAGGAGTTCAAGACTAGCCTGGGTAATATAGCAAGACTCTCTCTCTTAAATCAATCAATGTGAAAAGACAACCCACAGAATAAAAGAAATTATTTGCAATCATATATTTGATAAGGTACTTGCATGGAGAATTATAAAGAAACGTTACAGCTCAACAATAAAAAGATCAATAACCCAAATATAAAAACGTGGAGATTTGAAGGGATTTCTCAAATATATATATACATAAATGGCCAATAAGACATGAAAAGATCCTCAACAATACTAATCACCAGGGACAAGCGTATCAAGTCTACAATGATATGCCACTTCACAACTAAATTAAAATGGCTAGAAAAACAGATTACAAGTAGTAATCTGGTGAGGAGGTGGAAAAACGGGGTCCTTGCGCACACACTACTGGCATACATGTAAAATGATTCTGACACTTTGGGAAACCATTTTGGAGATCTTTAGAATGTTAAACATAGCTACCATAGGCTCAGCAATTCCACTACTAGATGTATACTCTAAAGAAGGAAAAACATGTCTACATAAAAACTTGTACCTGATCAAACAGCAACATTATTCACAATCACCGTAAGATGGAAAAAACCCATGTGTCTATCAACAGATTAATGAGTAAACAAAGTATGTCCATACAATGGAATTTTATTCAGCAATTAAAAGAAATAAAGCACTAATATGTACAACATGTATGAAGCTTGAAAACGTTATGCTAAGTGAAAAGCCAATAATAAAGGACCACACAGTATATGATTCCATTTACATGAAATGTACAAGATAAACAAATCCATAGGGACAGAAGATGAAGTGGCTGATGAGCTAGGGAAGGAAGAATGCAGAATGACTGCTGCTGGTACGGGGCTTCTTTTTAGGGTGATGAAATGTTCTGGAAATAGACAGTGGTGATGGTTACAAAACAGTGAACAGTATTAAACACCACTGAAGTATACATTTAACAGGTAAATTCTACGATATATAAATAATATCTCAATAAAACTTATAAAAGAAAGCTCTTCCTGTCCTGTATCAGATCCTTTGTATTAATGAAGTGTCCAAAGTTTCCAAAATACTTGGATTGTTACTTACTTCAAACCTTATTTCCCATTGTTCCTCTTCATACTTTTTATCATAATCTGATCTTGGTTTCTGAAATAAACAAAGCATTCCAAAAAGTGAAATGAAAGTTGGAAAAAAAGTATTGTTGAGTAAAATCACCTTTAGCTATATTAAGATACTTTCCATATTTCATCACCACAAAAACTGGGTGCATTTCCTTGTTGGTATTATTTATTTGAGATCAATTGCAGGCAAATCTAATGTTCTGAATAATCTTACCATCTTAAGTTTTCAACAATAAGAAACCTCAAACTTATGCTAACATATGTCAATGCTAATTCATCTATTCTAAGAGTGAGAGCTCTTAACTTTCCCTTTAAAATGTTCAAAGTGAATAGTAAAACTAGAACAGAAAAACTAAGTAATCTGTATAAAACTTGTTTAATAACAGATGGAACTTCTTTTACACACACATACACACACTCTCTCTCTCACCCACAACAACCACACCTCTGCTTTAGCTTCTGGGCTGGGGCACTTTCAGGCTGCTTGGTGCCAGGAGGCTGCCCCACACCTCTGCTTTAAAGAAAAAGCTGGCAGTGAGAATTACAGGTACAAAGTTACAACACAATTTCTATTTGAGAGAAGAAAGTAATTTTCTGTATCTATAGAACAATGTTTGATTGTGTACTATCATCAAAATGAATATTGAGAAGTCTAACAAGTAGACTGTCCCTCTAAAAATAAAAATATATTGTGATATAAAATATAATGATGCATAATCTATTCCTATAAAAGATTTATAGCAGCTTGAAATGTGAAACCATATCTGTAACAGGCCCTATTTTTAAAAGTACTAAACCACAGAAGCACCAGGCAAGGAATGAGCCACTTATAGAAGCTAAGCTCAAAATGTGGCTCAGGATTTCCTGTAAGAAGGCAAATGAGAGAATTTTGTAATACATGGCTTTTGTGTCAAGTAAAAGGAAAAAAATATTTTACCTGGCACGAGAGCCCTCTTCTGGTACTGACTATAAAGATTTTAGAATGTGCATCCCTATATTCAAACAACACTGAATAGCATGGGCATCAATCACACTAGGTTTGTAGGTAGAGAAACATTAATTCAATCTTAATGTAATTAAAGTCTTTTAAAGGACATTTATAATGCATGATACAGCCTATTTTATCTTTCTCAGCAAAATGTATATATCCTCTAGACTCTCTTAATAGATCAGATATGTAGAATCATATTTAAGACATGTAGTGTAAAACAAAATGTAACATTTTAACTAGACTTTTCTACATTTTAGATTTTTATAGAAAAATAGTTCACTTACTTCTTTCACCATCTCCTCAGTATGTTCAGAAGTACAATATTTATAATATGCCATAAAATAAGAAAGTGACATTCCATCAAAATAGAGATGAATAGACAATTTCTCCCATGGATTTCTAGGTAATTCCTATTTAAATTCAATAAAGATTATTATTATAAAAATAAAGTCCATTTGATGACTACATTTTTATAGTCAGCAAATATCAAATTTAGCCTCTGACAATCATAGTATTTTTTTCTTTTTTTTTTTTTTCTGACAATCATAGTATTAACTAGACTGTTGGGCTAGTGACTCATTTCATAGAATTTTCTTCCTGGTATTTTGACACATTATAAGGGAGTAATTACCACTTTGGTTTATGTAATATATACTTACAAGTCCAAAGGGTTTTCTAGTTATTTACCACAAAATAACTTGCTATATATAATTCCAATTCCCAAATACATCACCTTTAGATGATACTAATAAATTACATAGAAGGAGAAATAAAAGGTTATGTTCACAGGTGAAGAAATAAAGTTTCATTTAAATATCCAAAAATTGGCGGGACTCAGAAGAGTCTAAAAGCAGGAATCACAGTAACTTTAAAACTATGAATAAAGTCCATTTATAGTGATTGGGTACTGAATGTGTCCCTAACTGACAAGCTGACCCACAGTAATTCTCTTCATTTCCACTGATCCCACCTTTGACCAAACTCAGCTCTCCTCAGTTTTACTGCTCCTCACTGAATCAGTGTTGTTGCCTCCCGGTAGATCTTGTCCTATCTCTTCTTAACATTCGGTCCTCTGTCAATGCGGTCCCCTCCCGCTCAGTCCTGCTCCTGTGTCAGCACTCTTCTCCCTGCACCTAGTGGTCTGTCCTCTAATCACTTTAAGGTCTTGACTAAAATTTTTAAAGTGGAACCTCCTCCCTGGCCATGCCATTTCTATCAGCCTCCTTTGCTTTTTTTCTCCTAGCACCCATCACTATCTAATATTCCTTACAGTTTATTTTGTTTTCTCTTTCCCACCACTGAAATGGAAGCTCTAGAAAGGCAGGGATTTCTTACTTCTCAGCCCTCAGCTGTGTGTCCAGGCCTAGAGCAGAGGCTAGCACCTAAGAGGCCCTCTGTTAGCATCTCCCTTTGTGTTTCAGGGAGAGGAGTGAGTCTTGGCCAGGCCTGCTGTCAGTCAGATTGTGTGGCATGCACATTCATGGTCTCTGAAACCTGGCAGCCTTTGCTATACCACAAGTTGTTCTTTTACGTTAATTAAGCTAAGCAGCAAAGAAAGCTGTCTAGACAAACTAAAAATTTCAATCTCTACCTTACTTCAGTGACGTGCCATGGAGAACTGAGTAACTAGGGAGGAACTCTTAGTAATAACAAAAGCCACTCTCTTATTTAAGTGGGTCTGTGACTCCTTTAGGTCTTTATCACTCTATCATCACCCTTTAATACAAACATACTTTCCTTACCATGTATCTTTCCACTTGGGTCCTCCAAACATAGCAGCTGCAGGTTGATCTTTATTACCTCACTGCTCAGAAACCTCCACTAAGGCCCTCCCTACCAACCCCATCAAACGGCCCATACCTCTCCTGAACGCTATTCACTACCACTACTCCTCACAAAACTTCCACTTTTCAAGTCAAACAGTTAGACCATTTCCCTAACGTCTCTTTGTATCTCTGTGCATTTCATTTCCCCAGTCAGGAGCATGTCACCATCTTTGCTTTACAGGCTACCTCAATTCTCACCATCTCTAAACTCCTACTACTCTTTTTACCAGTTACTTAGCTTTTGGCATGTTACTTTATAGTGGAAATTTTTTAGGTTTATGTCTTGTTTCACTAACCAGATAAAGGCTTTGAGGACACAGATCATGATAAACTCTGAATTACCTGGACCTAAGACAGTGCTGAGTATACACCACCATCTTGGAAACTGCTACATATATTTATAAACATGTCCAACAATTTAATACTGCCCCCTATAACAAGACAACCTGTTAATAAAGAATCTTTCAAATTACTGACTTTAATGGTTATGAAAGTTCTCAGAAACTTGTTCAAAATCAGGCTTATTTAAAGCAAGTCTAGGAACCAACCTGGTAGTTCCTTTTATGCTAATGAGTAATTTATATTCACATAAGAAGGTATACACCATTGTTTATCATCAAAAATATCCCTCGAATTATGTTAGTTATGACGTTTTATGGCAAATAATTTATACCAACTATATATACTTTAAATTACCATAATGTGAATTTCCACCTCTCTCTTTGAAAGCAGTTGTTGAAGGACTTCTATTGCATCTGGTTGCCAGACATTCCCAACCTATTTGGGATTAATAAACCAGATTCTTTTATGCTTTTATAAAATAAGACCAGGAAGCAAATTAAGATACACAAAAGTAGCCATAAACAAATAATATCGGGTAGCAGTACAAAATACACAAGCAGTTCTTAGAGAATAGCATAGGTACATAAAAATAATCTTTAAAAATGAATAATTTGAGTATTCATTTTATACTTTAAAAATATAAACCTGTTCAGCAAGAGGTGAGAGATTAAAACACACACACACACCCTACATTTAAAAGTAAAACATTACATCTACAACTTTTTTTAAAAAGACCAATATGCCAATGTACTGTTTGTACAAGACCTATGATATGTAATCATTAACGAATAGTGATTGTCATGTTTTTATGTGTTAAGAGGTTCACATGGTGAGGCAGTGAGCCTTCCTCCAACAACCACAAGTCAACCATCTGAAGTGGACCCTCTGTCCCTAGTTGATCCTTAGGATGACTACAGTTACGGTGAATATCTTGAATGCAGTACCACAAGGGACCCTGATATGGTTTGGCTCTGGGTCTCCACCCAAATCTCATCTTGAATTGTAATCCCCACGTGTTGAGAGAACAACCTAGTGGGAAGTGACTGTATCATGGGGCAGTTTCCCTCATGCTGATTTTGAGTTCTCACAAGAGCTGATCGTTTTGAAAGTGTCTGACATTTCTCCCCTCAACCTTCAATCTCTTTTCCTATTGCAACCTTGTGAAGAAGGTACTTGCTTCTCCTTCACCTTCTACCACGATTTATGTTTCCTAATGCCTCTTCAGCCATGCAGAAATGTGTGTCAATTATCCCTCTTTACTTCATAAATTACCCAGTCTTAGGTAGTACCTGTGTAACAGTGTGAAAACGAATACAGACCCCTTGTCAAAACAACCCAGCTAAGCCATTCCTAATCCCTGAGCCACAGAAATTGTATGAGATAATACAAGTTTATTGTTGTTTTAGACCACTATGTCTCAGCTTAATTTGTTATGCAGCAAGACAGAATAAGACACTCTTTTATCTGATCTCCAGTTTCAAGTTTGTTGTAATTTCATTTGATAAATTTTTGCAATCTTATACCTTCCCACTTATGAACACGTCTCTTCATTTATTCAGATGTTTTACAGCCTTCAATATAATTTTGTAACTGTCTTTCATAAAGGCTGTTTAGCTGTTTTGGTAACATTTGGTGTTTTATTACTTTTTTGTTGCAACTAAAATTTCATCTTACATTGTAAATATTTCTAAAAATGTATTAACAAAAACTATTTAAAATTAATCATCCCACAAATTATTATGTACTCACAGGTGTGGTATTATGGAGCTGACAGGGAATACAAAACTGGGGTATATCAGGATACAGCAAAATAGGGTAAAGATGGCACTGTGGAATCTTTTCAGTGAATCCATGATCTAAATATTGTACCTGAAACAGGTCAAATAAAATTAATAGTTTAAATTATTATTAAAAGCTAGGGGACAAAAGGAATTTCCTGTTATTTGGAAAAAAAATAAAAATAAAAGACAGGCCGGGCTTGGTGGCTCACACCTGTAATCCCAGCACTTTAGAGGGCAGAGGTGGACGGAGTGTTTGAGCCTAGGAATTTGAGACCAGCCTGGACAACACAGTAAGACCCCATCTCTATTAAAAACACAAAAATTAACTGGCTGTGGTGGTCACAGTTACTCAGGAGGCTGAAGTGAGAGGGACTGCATAAGCCTGGAGGTTGAGGCTGCAGTGAGCTATGATTGCATCACTGTACTCCAAGCCTGGTGACTGAGCAAGAACTTGTCTCAAAAAAAAAAAAAAGACATCTTGAAAATTTTAAAATCTGCATTTTAAAAATTTCCAGGAAAAAAGGCAATACTGTATTTATTCCCTCCTCATGCAATAGTGTATCAAACTTCATTGTAAAAAGGTTTTCTAACACTTAACCCATGAGACTTTTTTTTAAAAAACTGGGTCTTACTGGATTTACAAATTCTTTTGAAATGCTTTAATCTTGATAATTCAATTTCTAAATTGTCTTAAGAATAAAGAATGCCAATAAATTATTTCTTCTGTCCCAACATAATGAAATGAACATATCACTGCTTAATTGGATTTGCTTGGCAATTAGCATTAAAAAATAAAATAGAATTGAACAAAAAATGTCCGAATACGTCACAGATAATTAGTGTATGGTTTGACAAGATGTTTATTTCTTAATGTGGACCACAGGATAAACTTTGAAAGATACCTGGTTATGAAATGAAATCCATTGTGTACACTAAAAATGTAAAGTGATCACATGAAAACATATAAGGTGATGATTAAACTATCAAAGTTCTTTTAAGTAAGTTAAACAGATATTTGGACAGCATGAAAATTTTTATAAAAGTTCACCATCTTATTTAACAAACATAAAGTTAATGAAGTATAATAACTTGATCAACACCAACTTTCATTTTACCTGTGGGGAAAAAAAAAAGTCAGGAGTTATCTGAGCAACTCAAATGTATATATACGTGAATGCATGTTACTTTGCACATACATTCAAGTTGCTCAGATAACCCCTGTAACTATCCAGATGTTTAAGTACTTACCTCAAATTTGAAAATATCTGACGTCTATGAAAACCATTAAAAGTTTGTAGTTCAGTAGAAAAAGCCTAAGACTTAGAATCAGAAGTTTAGGAATCAGATGCTTGGGTATTAACTCTAGCATCATGACCCAGTAATCATGGCAGGTCACTGAACCTAAATTACAATTTTATTATGAGTAAAATGAGAATAATAATCTATGTCTAGGATAACTGTGAACAAATTATAAAATATAAATGCATATATGTGAAGGAAGCTAAAAAAAAACCTGAAGTACTGTGTAATCATTAGGCATCATCATCAAACAGATAATAAACTCCTGTCCAGGTGGAAACAAAAGACATTTACACTTAAGGTTTTCTTCCCCCATCCCCAATTAAAACTAAAGTTTTCAAATGCTGAATATATGATGAAGTATTTCATCAACTTCATTGCTTTACTTAGTAAATACGATGTACTGGAGGTATTTTCATCTGTATTTTACATATATACATCTTTTAAAGGATGTAGCTATTTTTGAAGATTTTGAATGAAACCTGAGTGCTACCTTATCACTCTGGAAAGGTAAATTGGCCGTTACCCTGAAAAGCTAACTAGGCCATAACAAATTTGCTAGTGAGATATTTAATATATTGGAAAACATATTGTTTTACTTAACACTATGTGTACAAACAGGGTTACCAATTACAACTAAGTGGTCCAACCATTAACTAATGATCAAATCCTTCCCTAGAAATATCTTTTGCTTATTCAGGTTACTAAATATATTTGAAAATAAAATCAAAATTACAAATAAAAGTATAACATGACTGATCTTCCTACACAATTTTCATCAAAAGATGTTTTAATCCAATTTTCTCATTTCAATACCAAAGACTTTAGCATTTAACCTCAGAATAGTCACAAAAGAATATCAGACTCACTCTGACCGTGCCACCTACAACCTCCATCACCTTTCCTCGATACCACAGAGTATCAGATCCTCTTACTGCACATGCTTCTCCTTTTTTCCAGAAATAAGGCTCCAAAAGACCAAGGCATTTTAAATTACTTTGAATTTCATTTGTCATTTTTATTAACTCAAATTCTGAAAAAAAGTATTAAGGACAGAAAGCATTTAAGGAAAATTCCCTAACATTTGTCAATTTAATAACATTTCTTAAGTAGTATAATTAAAAATCAGTCTCCAAAACAGAACTTTTGTAAAAATATGTTTTAAAACATATTAGTAATAGCACATAAACAATATTATGATCTTTTGATATTATGAAAGTACAAACATCATAAGGACCTCTAAACACATACCAGCTAGCCTACTATGAAAGTACTACCAATTTAAAATAGGGTCAGTTTGACAGCCTTAAGTAAAGCAGAACACAAGTTACGTATTACTTGATGCTTAGATACAGTATAATGAGGGGAATATAAATTAAATTTTCCATTTTGCTTTCATTGCTAATTGGCCCAGTATTTCCACAGTAAATATATCCATAACTGATACCATAGAGGACAAGCTCTGGAGTCAGCTACCATTCCAACCTTACTGTTTTAGTTGTGTGATCTTGGGTAGTTCCCTTACCTCCAATAGGCCTCAGTTTATTCTTCCATAATAACCACCTATTCTGAGTATAACAGAATCTTGTGGGAATAACAGTACCTGTCAGTATCATCATGTACTGCAGAAGGATTAGATGTAAAGCATCCAGCACACTGCCTGGCAGTTAACAGGCTACCAGTTTGGACAATGACTATTTACACATGTCAAGCAGTTTCTGGGTTAAGTACTATTACCACAGGTCTCAAACATTATTATTTTTTTCTAGAACAGCTAATTGTACCGATTTTATTCTTTCAAATTAAAAAATATATTTAAGAGATCAACAAATGAAAGAAAAATTTCAGTAAATTCATATCTGCCATACCCACATTCATAGATACTAACTAGGAGTTAATGACATTTAAGCCCTATGATTGCGAGAGTTATCAACTATTCTGATGGGCCCAAGTTATAGTCAGGAAGCATTTGCATATAAGCCTAAAGATCTCAGGAGGAACCTGAATATTCTCAAAGTTTCCTAAAGCTCCAGTCATTCTCATTCTCAAGAAATATAAACTTCGGCATTTATCTTATTTTTAGAAAATGAGACAGGGTCCCACTCTGCTGCCCAGGCTGGAGTTCAGTGGTATGAACACACCTCACTATATCCTAGACCTGCTGGACTCAAGCAATCCTCCTGCCTCACTTTCCTGAATGGCTGTGATTCAGGAATGTACCACCATGCCCAACTAATACTTGCATGTTTTGTAGTGATGGAGTCTTGCCATGTTGCCCAGCCTGGTCTCAAACTCCTGGGCTTAAGCAATCTTCCAGTCTTGGCCTAAAGTGCTAAGATTACAGGCGTGAACCACCACACTCAGACTATATTCTTTCTTCATAGAGAGCCTACAAACTTGTGTAAGTGACAGGTCCTACAAACCTGGAAACCCTCCATCCATACCCCCAGCATCTTAGTCCCAAGGTGAGGGAAGTAAGAGACACAATGGTGAAAGGCAGGTTAATTTATGCTAGTACTGATCTGAGAGTCATTTTAGCAGTCTATAGAAGCTAGTTTCATGTTGTTCCTCTTCTATGCTGGGAGAGTATTAAGGATGTCTACATCCTCACTGGTGGCCTAAGTTCTAAATTCTGCCAACAACATGTATCATTGCCACTCTCAGGTGTACAAAAAATGGGGCTCCACGATTTTTACATTCTCAAGGATCCCAAGGTTTACAGATGCACAAAAAGATTGAAATCATGGAGGAAGTAGTAAAATCCTGGGTGGCAGCCCTCACGTATCATGATGCTAAAAACCCAACAGCTTCATCACATATCTAACTCCCTTATTCTTACTAAACTTCATTACTTCTATTCTTTCAGCCAGGCTGAACCTCTATGTCTTACTTATGCCTATCACTGTGTGAGTTCTTTCTCTAAGTTCCTAACTCTAAAAAGATCTACAAGTATTTTTTTCTTGTCCATATCTATCTGTATTTCCAAAGCCATGGAGTTTGGAGCATTTCTCAAAAATATTCTCCTTCCTCATCTCTAGTCTAACTCTGCCTTTGCTTTGTGACCTTGCAACACTTTGCACACAGTGTGTCCCACAGAAACAACAGGGTAGGGTAAAGAAAACACATGATTTAAGGAACCAAGATGCACCTGAAGAACAAGAAAGTCAATGGATTTCAAGCGTTACAACTTCTATATACACCAAAAGTAATATAAGCTATATTCAGGAAAAAAACTGTGGTATTGGTGTAGGGATAGATAAATAGAACACACACTGAATAGAAAGTTCAGAAACAGGCTGGGAGCGGTGGCTCACGCCTGTAATCCCAGCACTTTGGGAGGCTGAGGCGGGTGGATCACGAGGTCAAGAGATCGAGACCATTCTGGCCAACACAGTGAAACCCCGTCTCTACTAAAAATACAAAAAAATTAGCCAGGCGTGGTGGCACGCGCCTGTGGTCCCAGCTACTCAGGAGGCTGAGGTGAAAGAATCGCTTGAACCTAGAAGGCAGAGGTTGCAGTGAGCTGAGATTGTGCCACTGCACTCCAGCCTGGTGACAGAGCCAGACTTCGTCTCAAAGAAAAAAAAAAAAAAAGTTCAGAAACAACTCCTGCCCATACAGAACCTTAATTTTTGACAAAGTTGGTACTGCAGATCAGTGGGGAACATGTGGAGTATTAAGCAGATGAGCTGGAACTACTAACTAAATCTATTTAAAAAATTAGATCTCTTCTTCATATCTACCTGAAAATCTATTCCTGGATGGCCTAAAGACTTCACATAACAACAGAACTATAAACATTTTTTTACAAGACCATATAACAAAATAGCTTTCTGATCTCAGAGTAAGAACAGATTTAATGAGATACAAAACCAAAAAACAAAGATGACTGATAAAATTACGTTAAAACTTTCTGATCATCCAGAAACTCCCAAAAGACACTGAAAAGATAAGAAACTGAGAGAAGATATCTGCAACACATAAAACTAAGAAGGAGTAAGTGTTCGGGATATATTAAGAACTATAAATCAGAAAGCAGTGACTTAACGGAAAGCGAGCAAAGACATGGACAGGCACTCCATAAACACAGAAATACAAATGACTCAAATAGAAAAAATGATGTTTACCCCATATGAAGTCAGGAAATGCTAATTAAAGCCATAGTGAGGGACAATTTCGGACCTACTAGGATTGGGAAAACTTAATGTGACATTATCAAGTGTTAGCAAGGATATGGGGTAATGAGAATCCTCATGCACTGCTAGTGACAAGTGTAAACTGTTATAAACAACTTGGAAAAACTATTTTTTATTTTATTTTTATTTATTTTTTTGAGATGGAGGCTTTCTGTTGTCAGGCTGGAGTGTGGCGGCACAACCTCAGCTCACTGCAACCTCTGTCGCCCAGGTTCAAGTGATTCGCCTGCCTCAGCCTCCCGAGTAGGTGGGCATACAGGCATGCCCCACCACATCCAGCTAATTTTTGTATTTTTAGTAGAGACAGGGTTTCACCATGTTGGCCAGGATGGTCTCAATCTCTTAACCTCGTGATCTGCCTGCCTCAGCCTCCCAAAGTGCTAGGATTACAGGCATGAGCCACTGCATCGCCAATTTTTGTATTTTTATAGTAGAGATGGGGTTTCATCATGCTGGGCAGGCTGGTCTCAAACTCCTGACTTCATGTGATCCGCCCATCTTGGCCTCCCAAATTGTGGGGATGACAGGTGTGAGCCACTGTGCCAGGCCAATGATCCACCAATTCTGTTCACTAGATTATGTGCTCTACAAAAATTTTGCCTGTGTGTAACAAGACACAGGTACAAGAATGTTAATAGGATTTTTTGTAATCATGGAAAATCTAGAAATGTTAAGTGTCCATCAATAGTAGAATGGATAAACTGAGCTATAAACATTCACAGGAATGCTATTAATTCGTTTAAAAAATGAATAAAACAGCACTTTGGGAGGCCGAGGCAGGCAGATCCCGAGGTCAATAAATCGAGATCATCCTGGCCAACAAGGTAAGACCCCGTCTTTACTTAAAATACAAAAATTAGCTGGGAGTGGTGGTACACGCCTGTAGTCCCAGCTACTTAGGAGGCTGAGGCAGGGGAATCACCTCAACGTGGGAGGTGAAGGTTGCAGTAAGCCAAGATCGCACCACTGCACTCCAGCCTGGTGACAGAGTGAGACACCGCCTCAAAAAAAAAAAAAAGAATGAAATATTATGAGATGAATCAAGGTGGACAAGTCTCAAACATTTTGATGAAAAGTCACAAAAGAATGTGTACATTTGGGTTCTGGTTACATAAAGTTTGAAAGATTGAAAACCTAAAATATTTGTTTAGTGATGCATATAGGAAATAATAATTAGCAAATTCAGAAAAGTGGCTATGTATTGGGTGGCAAAACAGGAAACATGATCAAGTAGGGCCACACAGGTCTGCTTAGGTTCTGGTGATGCTGCTGCTTATCGTGGGGAATGTATATATGGCTACTCATTTTAATGTTTTTACTTAAATAACACATTTTGTACTCTTTCACATTAATAACATTTTATAGTAATTTTAAAAAATTCATTTGAAAATCTAATTTTAGACATTTTTAGTGTGATCAGTGCATTGACCCTTAAACCACACTGTGGAAGTCACCCTTCGGGATCCCATCTTCATGTGCTATTAGATTTCGCACTTTGAGCAAAGGGATCTGGGGCTTTATTTCCTTTTTCTTGAACTTCATGTAGTTATCAAAGTTGTTCAAGGTTCTATAGTTACGAAGCAACTCTAGAGTGATTGCCTTCTTTGGAGTATGCTTACCTCCCAGTGTGTGATTTCACTTTGTTCTGGAGCTTGGTATATTCTTTACTTTTATACCAATTCAGTAAATGTTAATTTAAAAAAAATAGGCATTTGATCTGACTTATTTGGGAGAGTTGTTCAATCTGCCACAATAATGGAAATGAAATTCCAAATTCCTTTCTTCTTATACTGAGAACAGCACTCACATAATTATAATTATATAACACTGCTATGTTAGAATAATGAAAGGACTGCATTAAATTATTTTTATGTGTTAGGCACTATTTAAAAGCACTTTGCACACACTATGTGAAATCATTTAATCCTCCTAACAACCTTGTGAAAATAACATTCAAAGAGGTTGCCCAAGGTACTTCAATCCCTGTCATTCTTACTAGAGAACTGGAGCCTACATAACATAGAAGGTCTTACCTGATGGTTTAGGTAATACAAATATAGTTCCATCATCAGCAACACAGCTGACTGTTGCCTCAAATACTTTCATGTTAGGAATAGTTGGTGGTTTATAGCATCTAGTGGTTCTTGGTTCTAGAATTTTCTCCTGAAGTTCAGACACTTGGTGTTCACTGATTATGTCAGCAGCTTTTTTGTCAGGGTCAAAGTTAGTTTTAATACAGTTAATATCTACTGAATCTTCTTGTTCCAGGGGGACTTTCAGAGACTTCTCAGATAATGAATGGCTGTTATCTAATTTGTTAATTCTGTAACATCCAAAAAAGAACATATCTAAATATGAGCAAATATAAAACTCTGGGTAAAACAATATAAAAAGAATTCTTCAGATATATATGAAATTCAAAGAAAATATTTGCTCTAATTTGTTATGTAAAAATTAGCATAACTTAAGTTAAAATTAAAATTGAGACTGATGAGAAAAAGCAATAAAATTTTAAGTAAATGTTTTAAATTTCTATCTCATATTTATAGACTATGCTCTCTTAAAATTTCCTAAATGTGGTACAATGAATTCAATATTACTAGAAGATATAACACCTTTTAGATGATTTCAATTTAGTCCACAGATAGAACAGGCATCTGGCAAGCTATTAGCATCCATTAATACAAAGAAAACATGAGTCTCTTAAAAAATATTAAGGTACTATTCATATATTAGGTGTTAGTGGTAATATGCTGTATTTACTCAGTTTTTCTACTTTATATTATTCCCTTCCACTTAAAAGTAATAGGTATCCCTACTGTACAAAAAAATAAAATCTTAGAAGGAAATGTTAATATTGGTTGTGTTTTAGTATAATTATATCAAGTTTCTGTTTCTTCTAATCTCCTGTACTTTTAAAAGGAAATAAAGCCTGGGCGTGGTGGGTCATGCCTGTAATCCCAGCACTTTGGGAGGTTGAGGCAGGCAGATCACCAGAGGTCAGAAGTTTGAGACCAGCCTGGCCAACATGGTGAAACCCTGTCTCTACTAAAAACACAAGAATTAGCCAGGCATGGTGGTATGTGCCTGTAATCCCTGCTACTTGGGAGGCTGAGGCATGAGAACTGCTTGAACCCTGGGGTCAAAGGGTGCAGTTAGCTGAGATCACAGCACTGCACTGGAGCCTGGGCGACAGAGTGAGACTCAGTCTCAAAAATAAACAAACAAACAAACATTAGCTAAACAGCTACGTAATTCCTCAAATAACCTGCTAGTCCCCCAACCCACTGCTGCCTTAAGATAGCTGGTAGTTTTAGTCCGTAAAAGCAGTAAACAACTGGCAGCAGACAATGTCAGTAGTATTAACTTGCCTAGCACTTTTCATTATAACATTTCTTCTATCAAGGAACTGCTTTAGCCTAAAGGCAAAGCAATTAGGCTAGCTGTATACCAAAGCCCGGGCAACCCAGGCCAGATCTCCCATATCTAGCCTCATGTCCCACTTTCTTCCTGACTTCTCATTCGTTTTCCATTTCATCAGGACTCGGATCCTGTTCTCAATAAGTTAAGATATAAGTTAAGGCAAATACATCTACGGAGATCTGGCTACGTATGAGGCCATGTATTTGGTACACAGTGGCTACTTAGGAACTTGTTTCTCTAATTCCAACATAGCTCTATGTCTCTAGAAAGAGAGAGAAAAGATTAAACTAGGGCCACAACCGTATTGTGATCCTGTCCCTGGATCAAAGGTGCTTAAACCCCAAACACTGAACCTGAAAGAATTTTTAAATGTAAATACGTTGAACTACTTATTGTATAAATAAATTTCATATAAATATGTTTATTTTGTTTCATATATATTTTGTTTCATATAAATGTTTCATATATTTCATCCCGTTTCATATACATTTACAGTTCATATAAATACATCTAGTAGGTACACATCTACCAGAATTTCTAAAATAAAGCTTAAATATTTATGTCTAAAGCAAAGGATGCCAGAGGGCTAAGATCTGGTACCACTACATTATTCTCTTTTTCTTTGGTTTACAGTGTAAATGTCAAAGGAGAGGGCAAATTATAAAAGCAGGTATGTCAGTAAAGGGCTTAAGTGTGCAAGAAGAGATGTGCCTGAACAATGAAATGCGCAATTCTGAAGGAATCTATTTCTGAGATGGCTCCTCAGGGTTATAAATCTTTTTTTTTTTCCCCCTAAACACTGGGGAAAGCGTGAACGCAGTCCCCCACTATCACAAATTATGCAATCGAGTTTCCCACATTTGGGGAAATTGCAGGTGTCAGCACATCCGGAGTGCAATGGATAAGACTTGCCCTGGGAAAACCACCTTCGTGATCATGGTTTCTCCCCTGCCAGGTAAGCATAGTTTACAAATCTTGAAGAGCACACAAGATGCAATTCAGATTTGAAAGCACATGTAAGAAGATTTGCACATGTAACTAAGAGGCATCCGCATCCATCACGAACTGATGTCAAAATTTTTTTTTAAAGTCTATACCTCCTTTCTCTCAAAGCCAAACCCTTTTTAATCAAATATTTAGAAACATCAACACGCTCTCCTTTTTCATCTCTGCAGAAAATTTTCACAGGTAATGGCCAAGTTGTGTTGTTCTCCTGCAGTGATTTAAGAGCAGAGTAAATATGAAACACCAAAATGAAATCTTCATATAAACAGTGTACATTTCACAGGCATTTATTTTACATTTCTCTAAGCAAGAAATATTCCCAAGTGAGTAAAGTTATTTTGGTATCTAAACATATCAGAAAATAAATAGCATGGAAGAGAGTGAAACAGAGTTATTTTATGAAATGCATCAGAAAGACTTCAAGGTCAAGGTGAAATTAAAGAAAAAAAAATCAAACTGGAAACTTTTTTTTCCAGTCCCAGAATGGGAAGTGGGGAATACAACATCAGTCAACAAGTTTCTTTATTCTCCTGCTTTCTTTGTAAATTACAGAATCAAAATCGCAGGAGAATTACTTGAACCCTAGAGGTGCAGGTTGCAGTGAGGTGAGGTCGCGCCACTGCACTCCAGCCTGGCGCCTGGTGACGGAGTGAGACTCTGTCTCAAAAAATAAAAATAAAAATAATAAATAATAAATAAATATATTTTCAAAGGTCTTTTTCTCTCCTACGAAAAGCAAAATAACTAAAAAGCATATTCTGCTTCATATGGAAGAAGTCATAAAACTGGAGAAAGCACATAAAAAGTAACAATAAAATGAATCATAAGAGAAAATTCTACTCATTAATGTAATCAAAGCATTTAAATTAGAAAAAAAGCAAAGGATATTTTTAAAGTGGTCTGAAAAGATGTATGCCTCTTCTCAAATACACGTGTGTGACATACATTTATGATTTCACTAGAAGCCTAACTTTCCAGGTTGGCAAATATCAAATGGCTTTGGAAACACACCCTAGCATACACATTATATTTTTAACATGCAGATTATCAACTCATGAATACTACTTTAGAAATACTTTGACTCATTCAATCATTTGTGGTGTAACTATCATCAAACAAGAATTACACTTTGAAATAAAACTAACAAAATTCGTAACAAAATCCAAAGTTTGGTGTTATTTTCTCAACAAGAAAGAAAATAAATGGAATTGATGAAAACATTAATGAGATCATCAGCACATATCTCTCGTAAATTGTTAACTCTCTACCCACCTGTAAGATTATAGTTGCTACAGCTCCAGTCAGGTACAATGAAAGACAGTCACAAGCTGTTGCTGTCCACTTGTCACTCCCACCAGCTGGTCTACAACAGAAAACAATGGCAACTTGTTTTATAAAAAAAAGCATACAATATTGACATATACAAGAAACACTGCATTTACACACATATACATTGATAGTTTGAACCAACTATATGTAAGAAATCAATTTAAACATGGATTCATATTATTTTTACAATTTTTCTCCTCATTTTCATAGCCTTTTTTCATCCCTCTATTTTACTTAGGGCCCATGTTACATATTAACTGATTTGTATGTATCTGTTCTGCAGCTACACTGAGCACCTGTAAAAAGTAGGTATTAGTCACTATATACATTTCACATATGTCAACTAGACTGTAAACTCCCAGAGAACAGGAATAATGATGTATTACGTGCATCATCACATTCCCTAACGACCAGTATGGTGTCTGACACATAGAAGGCATTCCAGAAATATTTAATGGAAAGAAAAAAGTCTCTTTGATGATTCCACTGCCCATTTTTGGAAGTTCTTTGGAATTCAAATCTAACTTGAACTGCTACCCAAAAATATCAGAAATACCAGAAATTTTAATTATTGATTCAACAAAATTATTTACATTACCTGATAGATGTGGTAATACAGTTTTAAATGACTAAAAATTAGCAGTATCTTTGACTAACTTTTCAGTAAATACTGTCAGACAGTAATGCATAATAAAAAAAATGCTCGATAAATATTTGACAGATAAATGAAATACAGAGTATCTAATTTCATCATCCATGTTAGTTTGCAAAGTTGAAACTAAGTGACTGCAGGGGGTGACTCATCTTTTGGCTTCCCTGGGCCACACTGGAAAAATAGTTTTGAGCCACACATAAAATACACTAATAAAGCTGATGAGGTTAAAAAAAAAAAAAAAGAAAAAAACTCATGTTTAAGAAACTCTGCAAATTTGTGTTGGGCTGCACCAAAAGCCGTCCTGGGCTGCATGTGGCCCATGGGTTGGACAAACTTGCCTTAGATGTTTCTACCAGCAAATCTATCCCTAAGAATAAAGAATTAGTAACACAGAAAAGATTACAGATAACATAATGCAGGCTCTATGGGCCCTCTAAATATGGTTTCTAGTTTCAGAGTTTCACTGAGCTAACCCATTAACTGAGTAAACAATTATTTCTGGTCAATCTTTAAAAAAAAAAAAAAAAAAGGGAGGCAGGGCCTCACTATGTTGCCCAGGCTGGCCTTGATGGGCTCAATGGATCCTTCCATCTTGATCTTCTGAGTAGCTGGGGCTACAGGTGTATGCTACCACACCCAGCTTCACCTGGTCAATCTTTTCACAGTTACATGGCTTATATGACTGAGCTAACCAGATCAACTGGGCACGTAACTTGACCAAACAGGATTTGGTAAATGTGATATATACTACTTATTATAAAGCCTAGAGAGAGTTCTTAGGTGCTAAGAAGCTTAAATTGCTAGGAACTCTTGGAATCAGTTATGGTTTAATATTTATTATGATGGTATAAAAATAAAAGTCAATGTAACATTAAGGTTAGTCACTGATTATGGATATAAATATTAATTTAACATTTTTAAAAAATGTATGAATATACAATTTCAGTTAGGGAAGATGAAAAAGTTCTGGAGATGAAATGGTGGTAACTGCTACACAACAATGTGATTTTTTTTCTTTTTTTTTTTCTTTTTTTGAGATGGAGTCTCACTCTGTCACCCAGGCTAGAGTGCAGTGGTGTGATCTCGGTTCACTGCAACCTCCGTCTCCCAGGATCAAGCAATTCTCCTGCCTCAGCCTCCCAAGTAGCTGGGACTATAGGTGCGTGCCACCACACCCAGCTAATTTTTTGTATTTTTAGTGGAGACAGGTTTTCACCATGTTAGCCAGGACGGTCTTGATCTCCTGGCCTCGTGATTTGCCCACCTCAGCCTCCCAAAGTGCTGGAATTACAGGCATGAGCCACCGCGCCCAGCTGATTTTGTTGTTGTTGTTGTTGTTATTTGCTTTTGAGATAGAGTCTCACTCTGTCACCCAGGCTAGAGTACAGTGGTGCAATCTCTGCTCAATGTAACCTCTGCCTCGTGGTTTCAAGCATTTCTCCCTGCCTCAGCCTCCCAAGTAGCTGGAATGACAGGTGCCCACCACCATGCCTGGCTAATTTTTGTATTTTTAGTAGAGACAGGGTTTCACCATGTTGGCCAGGCTGGTCTTTAACTCCTGACCTCAAGTAATCTGCCCACCTCAGCCTCCCAAAGTGCTGGCATTACAGGCATGAGCCCTATGCCCAGCCATGAATGTTCTTGTTGTCACAGAACTGTACACTTAAGAATGGTAAAAGGGTAAACTGAGTGTAATATGTATTTTACCACCGAAAGAACAATCTATTAAAAGGGATTTCTTAAAATGGCAGTAAAACAGAGTGGTTAGAGCTCCAGTTCTGGATTCAGACCTTGTTTATAATCCTACCTCAACAAGCAGCAGATATTTTATCCTGGATAATACTTACCCTCTTAAATATTCAATTTTCTTACCTGTAAATAATATCTTATTTATATCTTTAAGGTCTGTTGTTAGGATTAAGTAAAATAATGTCTTTAAGGCAACTAATGCAGGTTCCATAAGTACTTAAAGGTTAGGCTTTTAAAGTGATAATGGTATTTCATTCCAGCCCATAAGATATCACTTAAAGTATGTACAGAAACACATTATCTATACTGTTAGGTACAATTAAGGAACAGACATAATTCTGTTCAATCACTCTGAACTATTTAATGTGAAAGTGAAAACTAAGATAAGATTTATATAGTATGTGAGCTGAGATTTCCATTTCAGGACACTGGAAGGATTTACAGTTGTCCCATTGTTGCCATCAGTGATCACAGACAATAGGGAGAGGTGTAAGATTAGAGAAATGGGTCACTAAGAAGAAGGTATCCTATTAGAACAAGGATCTCTAAAGAACAAAACAAATAAAAAATAAAAAAAGAAGGTATCCTATTATATTATCAATTTAGGCCCGGCATAGTGACTCACACCTTAATCCCAGCACTTTGGGAGGATGAGGCAGGCAGGTCACTTAAAGTCAGGAGTTCAACACCAGCCTGGTCAACGTGGTGAAATCCCATCTCTACTACATATACAAAAATTAGCATGGTGCTAATTTTTGTATATTTAGCAAATATACAAAATGTAGCAAATATACCACCAGTGGCATGGTGCTATGTACCGGTAATTCCAGCTACTAGGAGACTGAGGTGGGAGAATTGCTTGAATCTGGGGAGGCGGAGGTTGTGGTGAGCCGAGATGGCGCCACTGTACTCCAGCATGGGTGACAGAGGGAGAATCTGTCTCAAAGTAAATAATAATAAAATTAAAAGATCAGGTTTCAAAACAGATAAACCAATGTTACATTTATATACATAACTTTTGGGTGAGGTACTTAATTTCTCATCATGAAGTTTCTTCAATTATAAGATGGGGATAATAGTTCTATGTCAGTATTATTGTGAGAACTAAACTAACACATGAAAAGCACATCATACAATGCCTGACCTAGTAGTGAATAAATGTTAAGGTATACTGTACAGTGTGTCTGGAGTTCTCTCATGATATCCTTGCAGATGAGATATAAATAAGCTAGGTAAACCAGTATGGTTTATCTATTTCTTAAATTAAAAAAAATCACGCACAGGTTCATTACAGCTTTTATAATAATGTTGAAAGGGTCTTTGGGATCTTTTAGCTTTATTGGTAAACAGATTTTTAATATTCCTATTTATAGTCCATGTCTGAAAAGCCTACACATATATGTATACCTAAGTATGTGTACGTGTATATGTCTTGTAGCCAAATAACATGTAATTGGCTTCAAATTAGTGATCAAGTTTGTGAGACAACCAAAAACAAGCTTGTCCAACCTGCATGTGGCCCAGGAAAGCTTTAAGTGCAGCCCAACACAAATTCATAAATTTTCTTAAAACATTATGAGATTCCTCACCAACTCATATTTCACACAGATGAAAAAAGAAAAAAAATTTAAAAAAAAACATTATGAGATTTTTTTGCAATTTTTAGCTCATCAGCTCTCATTAGTGTCAGTGTATTTTATGTGTGGCCCAAGACATTAATTCTTCTTCCAATGTGGCCCAGAGAAACCAAAAGATTGGACACCCTGATCTGAAACTGCAAGCACCACCAAATGATTTGGATAACTGTGGTAGCATATCAAAGCAATAGCAAATGATCTGCCAGTAGACTTTATGATAGAGCTGTTTCCTATAGGTACAATTTTATCTAGTACTCTATGTTGAATAGAAGCTAGGATTTATTTAACAACTGTTCTTAACCTCTGGAAAAAGGCCAGTTATGTTTGGCAATATTGTTACCTCCGAGGCTAGATATTCCGATTTTTGCCAATAAAAGAAACTCACATTTTAATGTGAAATTTACTAGTTTTTAAAATAATATTTGAAAGTTTAAAAAACATTCTGCAGGCCAAGTGCATATTAGTTGGATTTGGCTCATAAACTGCAGACTACAACTCTGAAGAGGTATGCTTTCAAATTTACAGATAATACAACATTAGAAGGGGCAGTCTAGACACGGAGTAACAAAATCAACTATCCGAGTTTCAAAACCAATTAGAAAAAATTTGACAGGAATAACTGTAAAATTCTATATTTAGGTTAAAAAATCACTGTGTCAGGCTGGAGTATAGTGGCACAATCATAGCTCACTGCAGCCTCCAACTCCCAGCCTCAAGTGATCCTCCTGCCTTGGTATCCCAAAGTGCTGGGATTACAGGTGTGAGCCAACTCACCTGGCCCTTTCCCCTCCTTTTAGCTGAATCTTTTCTTTACTTTGCCCCATTGCCTGTCTTGCTCAAATTGAAAACTCTATTCCCAGCAATTTCTCCTCAGTGTGGAGTCATGGCAAGGAGTTTCAGTTTACTTTCAGGAGGTTATATGACTAAAAAGGCTCCAGTATTGTGAGACTCTGGCACATTTACAGACCTCTTGCATTCAGATATGAACTGCATCCTGCTTCAACTCTTAATTTTGGTTGCTATTCTCAGACTGGCCTGCATGTGCCAGTGAAATGCCGTTGTCTATTCCTATTCTTAGAGCTGTTGGAATCCTAGTCTGCCTCCCCTCCAAATCCTCCCATACAAATGTTGATTCTGTAAGGGTATCATGATACCATCATACTGTAAAGGTTCATGATGTACCCCACCGGCTAGTATTTGGGTACTCACAGAAGTAACTTATCATCTGCTTTTGTTGTAGATACTGACTGTGTAGTCTTTAGCTTTACTGTCCAAGTTGCTGTTTTTATAATGGGATTCCAGTAGACTAAAACTGTTCTGTCATTTTCCCAGAATCCTCTACAAATTCACTCTTTTTGGTAATTTACCTATTTTTACCTTTCTATGCAATTATAAACTTATAAAATTTATTTCTATCTGCGTTTGTTGTTCCTCAAAGTAAATTTTTAATATTCAACAGTTTGAATTCTATCTAGGTACTTTCATACTCACCTATCTCTATTTCTTAATACCACTAAATTTACATGATCCAAACTTTTATCTATCCCTCTTAATGTACAAAATTAACTAGATGTTAGGAAAACTTCAGAATATCTTAGCAAAACTAAAACTGACGAGAACCCATTTAAAAGTAATGTTTAAAATAATGAGAAAATTACTCAGCTAAAAACTACCTTATGTCAACCAGAGAACATTCCAAAGAGAGTCTTCCCATTGTCTTTAGATTTTCTTGAAGTTTTCTTAAACAGTCAACATTCACTACTAGTTCAACACCCACGTCATACAGCAAAACCTAAGAAAAGAATACCCGTTAGTCTATGGACAAACAATTCCAAGTATTTTTTTTGGCAAACTGAAAATCTCAGTGAAAATTGTTTTAACTTCAGGGAAAAAAATACAAAATGCAATCACCACCTTCATGATTATACTTTTAACTCCGCAATTACCTCTACCAATGTGTCTGTAACCATTCTGATGATCTGACCTCTTCGCCACTGATTTTTATCTTGGATCTTAACAGCACAGTGCATATCATTTTCCCATTTAACAGGTTCCCATTTTGAGTTTTCATAAGCAGATATCATCTTTTCTTCTAAACTACAGAGATAAAAAATATTTAACTTTCCAAACATTTTCTTATACAATTCTCTGGCTACATGTTTTCTACTACCCCCGCTTGCTCATTCCACTCCAGCCAAGCTGGACACCTTGTTCTTCCTTGAAAGTACAAGCATATTTCCTCAGGTTTTGGAACTAGCTCTTCCTTCTGCCTCAGATAAACTTTCCTCAGAGACTCATGTGGCTTACCTCCCTCCCTTCTTCTTTGGGGTCCATTTCAAATATCACTGTCTCTGAGGTCTTCCTTGACCAACATCCTAAAAGTGCCTTCTTCCCCAAATGCTTTATTTTTCTCTATTTCCCTTAACAACATCTGCCACACTAAAAATTTCATTTGTTCACTCTCTTTCTACTAGAATTTAAGTTACATGATAGCAAAGATTTATCCATTTTTTTTTAACCAGGGTATCCCTAACACTTATAAATACTGCTTGTCATATAGTAGGTCTCAATAAGTATATGTAGAATGAATAAATTGAAATTAGTGAAAACAACCAACAGAGATCCTATTTGCATACTTCTAACTAGCTGAGAGACTGCTTAGTTAAAATAATTCTGCTTGTAAAATCTACATTTATGACTTCTAGATCTTTGAAACAGAATATAGAAAGGATAAAATCACATTAATGCTTTCCTTATATATTATATATATTGTACCTATTAAGTAAGTTTTCAGTTAACAACCACTGAACATAAATCTTCTCAGGAGATACTACATTACAAATATGCACAGGCAATTCCTTATTATAAAGTGACTGGAAATTCTCATTAGGTAGAGATTTTGCAGACACAGGATTTAACTTGTTTACTTCATTTGAAATAATTTCTTCTGGAGAAGGATCCCAAATTTCAATATGCTTTTGAGAATTATCTTTGAGGATATATCTGAAAAACAACAAAAGTTAATGAAAAGAACTATGTATGCAAATTATTTGTATTTGCTCAGGTCTGTATCTCAACTGTGTGATGCTTACATGACTATTTTTGTCAAAATTCATTTAACTGTGGACCTTAAAAGGTGATTTTTTTCTGTACATACTTCAATAACCCTGACTTTAAAAAGAAAGGAGAAGATTCAGTCCAACATAATTTCTTCTTTTTTTTTGAGATGGAGTCTCGCTCTGTCACCTAGGCTGAAGTGCAGTGGCGGGATCTTGGCTCACTGCGGCCTCCGCCTCCCAGGTTCAAGCAATTCTTTTCCCTTGGCCTCCCGAGTAGCTGGGATTACAGGCGCCCACCAACAAGCCCGGTTAATTTTTTGTATTTTTAGCAGAGATAGGGTTTCACCATGTTGGCCAGGGTGGTCTCAAACTCCTGACCTCAGGTGATTTCACCTGCCTCAGCCTCTCAAAAGTGTTGGGATTACAGGTGTGAGCCACTGTGTTCGGCCCAATCCGACATTAATTTGAATGTTTACTCTCATTTCTTTCCCTCTCTCAATTGAGACCTATAGTGGAAAAAGCTCCTGCTTCTATCTCCTCCAGCATGAGAGTAAGCAGGAAAGAATGGCCACAGATCATCAATAGGAGTCACTGCAGGCCTCTGTAGGGTGTCACTGTATCTTTGGCTTATGCTGACAAATATCATATGTGGGTGCTATCTGAACACTAGCTTTTTCTTTTCTTTTTTGGACAGAGTCATGCTCTGTCACCCAGGCTGGAGTGCAGTGGCAAAATCTCAGCTCACTGCAACCTCCGCCTCCTGGGCTCAAGTGATTCTTCTGCCTCAGCCTCCCGAGTAGCTGGGACTATAGGCATGAGCCGCCAGGCCCGGCTAATTTTTGCATTTTTAGCAGAGATGGGTTTACACCATGTTGGCCAGGCTGGATGCAAACTCCTTTCAAGTGATCTGCCCACCTCGGTCTCTCAAATATTAGCTTTCTTGAGGGCTACGTGGGAGAATTTTCAGAAGCTCCCCCAGAGCCACTCCCACTACACAGGTCCCTATTGTGGAAGAATTCTTTGTTTTGACCTCAAAACCCTTCCACCTGCCCTCGCCACTGCTCTACTCTTCTGCTTCTGGGGTCACCCCAACCACTAGCCTGTCCTGAGTGAATATTAGCACAATGACTCAAGCCTGGTTATCATTCAAAGTATCTACTTGAATCCTGGAAAATTAGCATTTATACAAATAGGAATGTAAGCTACTATACAACTATGCTTATTCTCCATCCTGCCATTTCTCTTCCTAATTCCTTTCTCAATCAGGCACAAAGGGCTTCCTAAGCAGATGTTCCACCTAGAAATAAGATGCCAGTCTGCTTTCCTTAGAAGCACTCTAAAAGAGCCTTTCTCTTGGTTTCTGGGCCCCTTAATAATGGAGAGGAAAGCCACTCTAGTCCTCATTAGATTAATGACTCCTATTATTTTCTTTGGTCTAGGAAGAGGGAAAATTCCCAGGTCTGCAGTCTAAGCACATCTCCAATGGGGAATGATGTGCCAGTTTACCTTCTTGCGATTAAAATGTTACATATGAGCATTAAATAACAATAAAAGTTTACATATCTACTTACCCTATTTCATAAGATGCCAGGCCCTCTTTGACTAGCTGGTCATTAATACTAGTAATTTCAGGAGGACCAGGAGACTCAAAAAGCTCAACTAAGAGCACATTATCTTCCAGAATTTCTGTAAAACCATTAAGAAAGTTTGGGGAAAGAAATATGTCACAAAACATACTAAATGAGGCAATTTTTTTTGGAGACAGTCTCACTTTGTCGCCCAGGCTGAAATGCAGTGGCAGGATCTTGGCTCACAGTAACTTTCACCTCTTGGGTTCAAGCGATTCTCCTGCCTCAGCCTCCCAAGTAGCTGGAACTACAGACAGACACCACCATGCCCAGCTAATTTTTTTTGTATTTTTAGTAGAGACGGGGTTTCATCAGTTGGCCAGGCTGGTCTCCAACTCCTGACCTCAAATGATCCACCCACCTCAGCCTCCCAAACTTAAGTGCTGAGATTACAGGTGTGAGCCACCGCGGCCGGCCTAAATGAGGCAATTTAAAAATTGGAAACTTAATTTCTTTCATTTACATGCACGACATTTCTGGTAGAATAATGTCATAGTTTCTAGGAGTTAAAGTAGCACTTTGCGGATCTAAATGAATTGTTAGTGTTATCTGTAACACAAATTAGCAAACATTTAATTTTAGGTTATGTATGCCATTATATAAAGAAATCAGTTTGAAGCTTTTAGGTTCAGAAAAATATATTCATTGAAGAAGCGTTCTATTCTATTCTTACTCTATGGAACTAAATCAAGTTCCAGGAGGACCAAGGTAATGAAAGTTATGAATGAAAGTTAAACTCAGGCCAGTGATCATTTGCAAACATTTACAGCTTTAACAAAAATGGCACAAAGTTTACAACAACACAAATTCAATCTAGAACTCTCAATTAACTAGAACTTTTTCCTGTCCCTGTGTTTTTTAGGACAAACCACATCTAATTCTTATTTATCAGATCTATTTCTTAAACTAGACTGGGAGTTAACTGAACGTAAGGCTCGTGTCTCATGTGTCTATTTACTTATTGATGGTATACTGCACAGGGAAATAGATCAGTATCTGAAATATGGTAGAGGAATTTCTTTAGAAAACATCTCTAAAATAATGCACTGAGATCAGTATATGCCTACACCTTTCCAGCTGGTAGCTGCTGGTCAGAATGATTCTAAAAAAAAAAAGATAACCATTACCAGCAGCAACATTCTATATTAACCCAGTTATAAGAGTTACATGAGTATAGATTAAAAGCTTTTTACAAATTTTTTTCCAGTAAGTTATATGGGCACAGGTGGTATTTGGTTACATGAGTAAGTTCTTTAGTGGTGATCTGTGAGATTTAGGTGCACCCCATCACTCGAGCAATATACACTGCACCATATTTGTAGTCTTTTATCCTTTGCCCCTCTCCTACTCTTCCTCCCAAGTCCCCAAAGTCCATTCCTTTGTGTCTTCATAGCTTAGCTCCCACATAGCAGTGAAAACATATTAGTTTTTCATTCCTGAGTTACTTCACTTAGAATAACAGTCTCCAGTCTCAACCACGTCACTGCAAATACTGTTCATTCCTTTTTACGGCTGTCTAGTGTTCGTGTGTGTGTGTGTGTGTGTGTGTGTGTATCTCAGTTTCTTTATCCACTCATTGATAGGCATTTGGGTTGGTTCCGCAATTGTGAATTATGCTGCTATAAATGTGTGTGTGCAAGTGTCTTTTTCAAACAATGACTTCTTTTCCTTTGGGTAGATACCCAGTAGGGGAAAGGCTGGATCAAATGGTGGTTCTACTTTTAGAACTTTAAGGAATCTCCACAGTTTTCCATAGTAGCTGTACTAGTTTACAATCCTGCCAGCAGTGTAGAAGTGTTCCCTGTTCACCGCATCCATGCCAACATCTGTTTTTTGATGTTTTTTTTATTGGTATGGCCATTCCTGGAGGAGTGAGGTGGTATCGCATTGTGGTTTTGATTTGCATTTCCCTGATCATTAGTGATGTTAAGCATTTTTTCATTTGTTTATCTTAAGAATTGTCTATTCATGTTCTTAGAACACTTTTTGATGGGATTTTTTTTTTCTTACCGATTTGAATTTGTTGTAGATTCTGGATATTAGTCCTTTGTCAAGATATATAGATTGTGTAGATTTCCTCCCACTCTGGGGCTTGTCTGTTTACTCTGCTGACTGCTCCTTTTGCTGTGCAAAAGCTCTTTAGTTCAATTAGGTCTCAGCTATTTATGTTTGTTTTTATTGCATTTGCTTTTGGGGTCTTTGATCATTAAATCCTTGCCTAGGGCAATATCTACAAGGGTTTTTCCAGTGGTGTCTTACAGGATTTTTATAGTTTCAGGTCTTAGATTTAAGTCTTTCATCCATCTTGAGCTGATTTTTGTATAAGGTGAGAGATGAGAATCCAGTTTCATTCTCCTACATGTGGCTTGCCAATTATCCCAGCACCATTTGTTGAAAAGGGTGTCCTTTCCCCACTTTTTGTTTGTTTTGTCAAAGATCAGCGGCTCTTAAGTATCTGGGTTTATTTCTGGGTTGTCTATTCTGTTTCATTAGTCAATATGCCTATTTTCGTATCAGTACCATGCTGTTTTAGTGACTGGCCTTACAGTATAGTTTGAAATCAAGTTTTGTGATGCCTCTGGATTTGTTCTTTTTACCTAGTCTTGCTTTCACTATGTGGGCTTTTTGGTTCCACACGAATTTTAAAATAATTTTTTCTAATTTTGTGAAGTAGTATTTTGATGGGGACAGCGCTGAATTTGTAGATTGCTGCTGGCAGCATAGTCACTTTCACAATATTGATTCTACCTATCCATGAGTATGAGCTGTGTTTCCATTTGTTCATGTCATCTATGATTTCTTTCAGCAGTGTTTTGTAGTTTTCCTTGCAGAGGTCTTTTGATTTCTTGGTTAGGTATATTCCTAAGGGTTTGTTTTTGTTTTTTGTATTTTTTTGCAGCTATTGTAAAAGGGGTTGAGTCCTTCGTTTGATTCTCTGCTTGGTCACTGCTGGCGTATATAGAAGAGTTACTGATTTGTGTACACTAATCTTAGAAACTTTGCTGAATTATTTTATTAGTTCTAAAAGCTTTCTGGAGGAGTCCTTAGGGTTTTCAAGATAAACAATCATATCAGCAAACAGTGACAGTTTAACTTCCCCTTTACTGATCTGAATGCCCTTTATTTCCTTCTCTTGCCTGATTGCTCTGGCTAGGACTTCCAGTACTATGTTGAAGAGGAGTGGTAAGAATGGGCATCCTTGTCTTGCTCCAATTCTCACAGGGAATGCTTTCAACTTTTCCCCAGTCAGTATTATGTTGGCTGTGGGTCTGTCATAGATGGCTTTTATTACATTAAGGTATGTCTCTTGTATGCTGTTTTTTCTGAGAGTTTTAATCATAAAGGGATGCTGGGTTTTGTTGAATGCTTTTTCTGCATCTACTGAGATCATGTGATTTTTGTTTTTAATTGTTTATGTAATGGATCACATTTATTGATTTATGTATATTAAACCATCCCTGCATCCCTGGTATGAAATTCACTTCATCATGGATTACCTTTCTGATACGTTGTTGGATTCGGTTAGCCGGTATTTTGTTAAGGATTTTAGTATCTACATTCATGAAGGATATAGATCTATAGATTTCTTTTTTGGTTGTGCCCTTTCTGGTTTTTGGTATTAGGATGATGATGGCTTCATAGAAGGAATTAGGGAGGGTTCCTTCTTTCTCTATCTTGCGGAGTAGTGTCAAAAGTACCAGTTCTTTGATTTGTAGAATTCTGCTGTGAATCTGCTTAGTCCTAGACTTTTTTGTGTGTGCTGGTAATTTTTAAATTACCCTTTTAATCTTGCTGCTTGTTATTGGTCTCTTCAGGATATCTAATTCTTTCCTATTTAAGCCAGGAGGGTTGTATTTTAAGAAAACTTAGAATTTATCTAAGTTTTCTAGTTTATGTGCATAAAGGTGTTCATAGTAGCCTTGAATGATCTTTTATAGTTCAGTGGTGTCAGTGTAGTATCTCCTATTTTCTTAGTGTGGTTATTTGGATTCTCTCTCTTCTTGGCTCATCTTGCTAATGGTCTATCAATTATATTTACCTTTTCATACAACTAGCTTTTTGTTTCGTTTATCTTTTCTATTTTTTGTTTCAATTTCATTTAGTTCTGCTCTGATCTTGGTTTCGATTATTCCCCCAAATATGTTTTCCAAGCTTTGTGCTTCTTGTATTTGGATGTCTAGGTCTCTAGCAAGGCTGGAGAAGTTTTCCTCGATTAATCCCCCAAATATATTTTCCTGAGGAAGAAGAGAATTCTATGGTTTGGTCGTTTAACAAAATCCCGGACTTCCTGGAGGCTTTGTTTATATTTCCTTATTCTCTTTTTCCTTGTTGGATTGGGTTAATTCAAATACCTTGTTTTCAAGCTCTGAATTTCTTTCTTCTACTTGTTCAATTCTATTGCCGAGTTTCCAGAACATTTCACATTTCTTAAGTGTGTCCAAAGTTTCCTGAGTTTTTTTTCTTTAAGCTACCTATTTCCTTGAATATTTCTCCCTACACTTCTTGTATTGTTTTTTAGATTTCCTTGCATTGGGCTTCATCTTTCTCTGTTCCCTCCAATTAGCTTAATAACTAACCAGAATTCTTTTTCAGGTAAATCAGAGACCTCTCCTTGGTTTGGATCCATTGACGGTGAAGTAGTGTGATTCTTGGGGGGTGTTGTAGGATCTTGTTTTGTCATATTACCAGAGTTGGTATTCTGGTATGCTTCTCATTTGATAGGCTCTGTCAGAGGGAAGGTCTAGGGCTGAAGACTGTTGTTCACATTTTTTTTTTGTCCCACGGGGTGTTCCCTTGATGTAGTACTCTCCCCCTTTTCCTATGAATGTGGCTTCCTATGAGCTGAACTGCAGTGATTGTTGTCTCTTTCTGGCCTAGCCACCCAGAGAGTCTATCCGGTTCTGGACTGGTACTGGAGGTTGCCTGCACAGAGTCCTATGACGTGAACCACCTATGGGTCTCTCAGCCATGGATACCAGTGCCTGTTCTGGTCAAGGTAGCAGTGGGCTGCAATGGGCTCCATGAGGGTTCTTAGCTTTGGTGGTTTAATGCTCTATG